TTTTGAGAATGATGAGGGCAATGAATGTACAAATATGCTTTACACAATTGATGTATGTATGGATTGTGATAAGAGTTGTATGAGCCCTAATAAAACGATTTTAGAAAACAACAAAAAACGTAGCACTGGTGGCGTAGTGAGTTTGCCATTAGGTTGCTAACCGCAAAGTCAGCAGTTCGAACCTACTCCGCAGGAGCGCCAAGGCTGTCTGCTCCTGTAAAGATTTACGGTCTTGGAAACCCACAGTGGGCAGTTCTACCCCGCTACAGGGCTGCTAGAAGTTCCACCGTGGTGAGTTTGGTATGGAGTTTGGAGGCGTCATTCTTTGATAATCTCTTTGCCGGCTGGGCTCATCCGCATTTGCGAGCTTGGTTTCCCCTGCCCACGCAGGCCGCCCGCCCAATGCCATCTCATCCCTGTCCTCTCTAGGTCCTCCTCTCCTTCCGTGTCCCCCTGGCCCGAGAGAGCACCCTCCAGAGCACTTCGTCCCACTCCCGCGGAGCTCGCCTTGCACGCCCCGCCCCCTGGCCTCCGGCCCGCCCCCGCCGCGCTCGGCCACGCCCCCTCGCCCGGAGGCCTGTGGGAGCGTCTTCCTTGGATTCCGCACTTGGCAACGCCTCTGTCGGGCGGGCTGGCGTAGGAAGATCGGCTGATCGTGCTGCAGCAGCGTCTTCCTTGGGTTTTGCTCGCGATCGCCAGCGCCCCTCCTCGGCGTGAGGTAGGAGAAAGGCTCCGAGGGCCGAGGGCGCCCCGGGCGTCCCTCTGCAGGCCCCGGTGGAGTTGCGGGTGCCTCCGAGGCCGGGCAGGTTGTGGAAGGCCGACCCCGCTCCGCCGGATGGCCCTGCTGCTCCCGGTTCCCGGAGCCCGTCCGGCCACGGGCTCTTGGGGTCCCGGCCCTCCCCCGGCCCGGCCCATCTCAGCCCATCTCAGCCGGGGAGGCCGAGCGGTGGGTGTGTATGGGCTCTAGGCTGACTCTCCCGGCCCACCCAGTGCCATCGAGGCAATTCTCACCCAAAGCGACCCTATCGGACAAAGCAGAACTGCCTCTGGGGATTTCTGAAACGATCCATCTTTCTTTAGCGGAGCAGACAATCTCATCCTTCTCCGGGCCTGCTGAGCAGCTAGTGGGCGCCAACCACCGACTCACAATTCAAAACAAAAAACAGCTCAACGCCATCAAGTCGATTCCGACTCACAGCGACCCTATCGACCAGTGTAGAACCTCCAGCCCCTGTGAGTTTCGGGCACTGTAACTCTTTGCCGGAGTACAGAGCTTCAGCTTTCTCCTACTCTGACCCCCTTCAGTTTCTGAGACCGTAAATCTCTAGGGGAACAACTGGTGGCTTTGAACCCCGACCTTGGTTAGCAGCTTGATACTTCGACTGGGCCTCCAGGGCTCTGTAAGTGGTCCTCAAAAACCAGACCCACTATCCCCAGTGGATTCCGTGGTGATTGTGTAGGACTGAGCAGAACTACCCCTGTGGGTTTCGGAGGCTATCGATACATCTTTACCTGAGCGGAGATCCTCCTCTTCCTCCCGAGGGGCTGCTGGTGGGCTCTTACCAGCTGACCCTGCGTTAGCAGGCCACCGCTTAACCAATCCCCCACACCACACCAAGGCTCTTTTTAAGGTGACCAGACGTCCCGCTTTGGGCGGGACAGTTATGATTTTTAACCATTTGTCCCACGTCCTGCAGTGTTTTAAAAAAGTCCCGATTTTTGGAAAGAATGCACAACAAGCTATGAAACAGCGGGAGAACGGGAAGGGAATATACGGTTTTTGGCTGACAGGTGGTTATTTTGCCAGGATATGAGTTTTATATTATTTTTGTTAATTTTATAATGTTAAACTTTAATAATAAATAATTGTTGAGAACTGATTATCGAGTACTGCTTATCAAAGTTCACGTTGTTAATCAGTTGTTACAATTCGACCACCATTGTTTGGACTTAATGAACAATGGCATTTTTGGGCATTGGCAACGACGAAAACATTTTGTAACTGTCTCTCAGACGATACACATCGTACTGTGTGCTAGTGCTAGTTAAAAAAGTGATGTCAACAATCAGCTATTCAGATTATTTAGGTAATTTATTTATTTCATAAATACATAAATTTTCTTGAATTTAGCAGACAGTCCTGGAATGATATGCAAAAATCATTTGAACATATTACTCAAAATTTCCCGTATAGTAATATTTCCGAAAATATACTTTTTAATGAGGTATCATTATTAAAAATATATATTGATAAGAAAAATGTTAAATCTTGGGCATCAGCAAAAATCACAATAGAGAACAAATGGTTAGAAATAGTTCATCATTTTGAAACAAACCATGTTCCATACAATAATGCACTAAAAATTGTAGAATATGCGTTGTCCTTACCAGGAACTAATGCTGCGACTGAACGCATTTTTTTTCTACGGTAAATAAAGTGTGGCCATCAGAAAATTCACAAGTGTTGAGACTTTGAGAGCCATTTTATGTGTGAAATATAATTTAGCAAATTCTTGTGAAAAATGTCATGACCTTTTAAACGACAGCAATCTGGTTCCCTGTTTCTAAAAGTTGGTTGCTTTTATGACTATGCATTAAGCCAACCTGACTTGAAGGGCTCATATTCAGGAAGACTTTGTTTGGCTTAAAACCATTCAAGGCAAATTCACTGCCACTGAGTTGATTCTAACTCAGTGCATCTACAGAATCACAGAACTGCCCTTGGGTTTTTTGAGTCTAAAGCTTTACAGGAGTGGAAAGCCCCATCTTTCTCCCATGGACTAGCTCATAGGTTGGAACCCCTGACCTTTCCGTTGGTAGCCCAATGCACAACCCACTGCACCACTAGGCTCCTGTGTTGAGCACAGTGTTTAGCACAGTGATTATAAACATGCGGCCTCCAGACCAGCAGCATCAGCATCCCGTGCAAATTTGTTTAGAAATGAGCATCCTAAGGGGTAGACAGGTGGTGATGTCTCCCATACCAGCTTTACTGAGCCCGAAGAATAGGACTAGCAATTTCTCCCAACAAGACTTAAGGAGTCCAATACACACTGAAGTTTGAACCACTGGTTTTATGTTACCCAATTCAAACGTGTAAGTTAAAATGTGTCCTTTCCTACTTTTAATGCCTTTTGGGAGGTATTGTGGGAAGACTCATTTCTATGTGTTTGATATTTGATCTTGTAATATTGAATATTCATCTTTTTAAAGTATTGTGAAATGGATCAAAGACCTATATGTAAGAGCTGATGCTATAGTACTTGCCAATCTTCTTGACCTTGGCTCACGATTTTTTAAGATGGATTATTAAAAGCATAAGTAGGCAAAGAAAACAAATAGATAAATTGGACCTCATACATTTTGAAACTTTTGTGCTTCAAATGACCTTATCAAGAAAGTGAAAAGCCAACCTACTGAGTGGAGGAATGTGTTAGACAGGGTTCTCTAGAGAGATAAAACCAAATTGCTGATAATATATTTATTTATAAAGATAATTAGCTATATAACAAGAAATGAACTGTTAAATCATATACAGATAAATATATAATACAAGAAATGAATGGTTAAATTATAAAGCACTACAAATGGCTCAGTGCAACTCACGTCTGTGAGAGAGAGTTGTGAGAGACTAGCAGTCCTTCAAGTCTAGTCTGCTGCCAGATCTTCCTCTATTTATAGAGAGAGCTAGGGTATGTCAGTACAGCAGCCAATCACAAGGCAGATCACCAACTGCCAGTCCCCAGCTCCAGAGATGTCTTAAAGGGACCTCAACTTACAGCGACACAGTCCACAGGCTAGGCGTCCCACAGGTAGTGTAGCCTTTAAATTTGAGGCACAGAACAAGCAAGGCAGCCGCACACAGGTCTGATGATCAAAGAGCGAGAGACAAGAAAGACGAGGCTCACCAAGCCATTTATCTCTCTGTCCTTCAGTTAATCCCACTTGTGTTTATCTGCCAGGCTGGCACAATAAACTATCTCCGGGAAAGTACCAATAAATCATAAAGGATCACAGTAGACATTTCTCAATAACATACAGATGCCCAATAAGCAAGTGAAAAACAGCTCACCATCATTAGTCTTTAAGGACATGCAAATTAAAACCACAGTGAGACACCACACTTTAAACCCACTAGGATGGCTATAAACAAAAAGTCAGATCATAGTATAAGTACTGACAAAGATGTGGAGAAATTAGAAACAAATTCCCATAGGCAGTGCTGATGGGAATATAAAATGGTATGGCTACTTTAGAAAACAGTGGCATTTTTCATAAAATTAAGCATAGCCTCCCATTTGACGTAGTCATTCCATTTCTAGGTATGTGTCTCAGAGAAATGAAAATATCCCCACAGAAAAACATGTGCACAATGGTTCACAGGAGCATTATTCATATCCCTCAAAACGGAAACAACCCAAATGTCCATCAGTGACGAGACAGGCAAACAAAATGTGGTATAGCCATACAATGGAACAGTATTTGGTAACACAAAGGAATGAAGTATTAATTCATAGTACAGCATGGATCAACTTGAAAACCTCTAAGTGAAAATGACAAATCACCAAAAGACCATGTGCTATATGATTGCATTTAAATGAGATGCTAACATTATGCCAATTTAGAGAGACATACAGTCAATTACTGGCTACCTCGTCTGTCTGAGTTAGAATTGACCCAGTGGTACTGAGTTTGTTTTGGGAGGGCTAGGTGGGTGGGTGGGAGGAAAGAAAGTGAGAGCTAAAGGTGTGGGGAGACCAACATGAAAGAGATAATGAAAATGTCCTATAATTGATTATGATGATGGTTGCCCAGCTCTGAATATTCTTGAGTCAACCGCTCACTTTCAGTGGGTGAATAACGTGACGGGTGAATTATATCTCAGTAAAGCTGTTAAAAAGAAGTAGTGCTACATGCTATCACATGGATGAACCTGACAGCATTTGCTGAGGCCACATACTGTGCGAATCTATTCATATAAAATGTCCCAAATCCAGGGAGGGCGAGGCCAGGCAGGGGATTAGAAGGACATGAGAAGTGATCGGGAAGGCTATGGGGTTTCTTTCGGAGGTGATGACTAGGTTTTAAAATCAGTGATAGTAATGGTTGCGCAACACTGAATATACTAAAAAGCAATGAACTGTACACGTTTAAAACATTAATTTTATGATATGTGAACTATAGCTCAATAAAGAAATAATAAAAGTTATTAGAAGCCACATCTATTCGGTATTATGCTGAACAAAAGAATAGGTTGAAATTACTGGCCCCCTTAAAACTGAATAGGCTCTACAGAAACTGCTTTTAAGACAAAGTGATTCAGTTGAAAATCTAAAATTCCCTTTCTCCAAACTTGCATACTGACTTGATTCAAATGCTACTTCCGCTGGGAATCCTCCCCCGATTCCATCAAGTCAGCTCCCACTTTGGGTGTAACCGAATGAAGCATTGCCCAGTCCGGCAGCACCCTCCTCATCTCGGGTACGTTTGAGCCCATTGTTGCAGCCACCACGTCGGTCCCTCTGATGAAGGGTCCTCCTCGATTTTGCTAACCCTTTATAAAAAAATTAAGGCATTTCCTCATGATTGGTCTTTCTCAATGATGTATCCGAAATAAGAAAGTCTAAGATGCTCCATCTTGCTTCGAAGTAACATGCTGGGTGTCCATTCTCCCAACATTCACTATTCTTCCCGATGCCGCAGTTCAAATACATCAATTCTCCTCTGATCTTTCTCTTTCACATGAGTCGAATTGGCTCCGCAGTGAGTTTTGAAGCTTCCCCAGGCACCTGAGGCGATTGAAAAGCCCACGGTTCGAATCAGGCTCACCTTCGTCATCCAAGTGGCGTCTTTACTGTTATTCTGCAGAAGATCTTGACTGCTGCTTCCACGGACACTGATGGTCCAGGAAGAATGAAATACAGGACCATGTCTGTCTCTTCACCACTTACCCTGATTGATGCTGCTCATCGGTGAAGTTGGGGGGTTTCCAGACAGAAGCTGCACGGAAGGCTGGTCTTCAACCTTTAAATAAGTGCTTCAGATCACTTGGTTCGGCAGTCCCCTGGTTTTCACTAAGTCTCCCTCCAGTAGCAATGCTGCGTTCTTCATGTAGACCAGTTTCCCAGATTATTTGCCCAACATACAAATGAAATCAGGAAAGTGAAAGATACAGCCCTGCTGCTCACCACACAGTCTCCTTGTTCCATTCCCATGGCTGACGGCCTCTTGATCCCTGTGCAGGTTCCACAGGAACACAATGAAGTGTTCTGGAAGTCCCCGTCTTCATAATGGTACCCATAGCATGTTAGGATCTACAGCGTTAAATGCCTTCGCATAGTTGATCAAACGGAGGAAAACATCTTTCTGGGGTTCTGTGCATTCAGCCAAGACCCACCTGATGTTAGCAAGGATATCCTTATTCCGCATTCTCTTCTGAACCCATTTTGAATTTTGGTAGTTCCCTATCAATGTTTGGCTGTAGTCATTTCAGCAAAATGTTGCTGTTATATAAACTTTTTATTATATGTAACACTTTATTAATTCAATCACTTCTTTTTGGAATGGGCACAAATAGTGGATCTCTTCCAGTTAGATTTCTTAGTAATTATTAATCTTTTCTTATGTTTATCTGTTTCATGTTACTTTAATATTAACTTTATTCTGTCTTGTCTTTTCTGTCAACATTATGAAAAACTTCAAATGTACACATATAGCAACGTCGAAAGGACTTGACCCTGCATATCGTATCTGTTACCTGGTTCTCCCATTACTGCATTTCCCTCACACATAGCCATCCATGTATTCATTCCTCTGCCGGGCTCAGATTTTGTGCACTTTAGATTAAAGGGATCATTACACTTTCCCTCAAACACTTCACTGAGGACATTAATTAGAGTCTAGTATTTGCTTCATTTTAACCCCTTTGGAGTTAAAATATGTAATGAAAGTCACAACTCTCAAGTATGCACTTGTTGGATTTTCACAAACGCACGCACCTGTGTGACACAACCCCATCAATGGAGAACTGTCCCATCCTCAGAAAACTGCCTCATGCCCTTTTCCACCCAATCCTTGCCTTCTGCTGCACAGAATCACTCGGCTTCGGATCGTTTTTCTATCCTGGATCAGGTTGGCCCATTTTAGCTCTTCATTTAAATGAAATCATGCAGAATGTACCCTTTGTGTTAAGCTTCTTTTACTCAGCGTAATTTTCCATCCCCATGATCTATGTCAATACAAATATCTTGCTTTCCAGTAAGATTTTAGTATTACTAGTGTTCTATTGTACAAATATGCCACATTTTGCTTATTCATTCCACTGATGGACCCTTGGTCTGTCTCTAATTTTGGGCTAATATAAGTCACATATCTTGAACGTTTTTATACAAATCTTTTTTAGTCATATGTTGTCATTTCTCAGGAGTAAATACATAGGAGTGGAATTGCTGGGTCATAAAGGATTCAAAGTCGGACACTGAATAAAGAAGACAAGAAGAACTGATGCATTTGAATTGTGCTGGCGAAGAATATTCAAAGTGTCCCGGACTGCTAAAGGGTGAAACAAATCTGTTTGGAAGAAGTACGGCCAGAGTGCTTCTGCAAGGGTGACGAGACTGTGTCTCGCACAGTTTGGACATGTCTGGAGAGACCAGTCCTGGAGAAGGACATCATGCTTGGGAAAGTGAGGGGCAGCGAAAGAGGAGGGGGTCCTCAAGGAGCTGGATCGACAGTGGCCGCAACAATGGGCTCGAGTATAGGAACGGTTCGGAGGATGGCGCAGAACTGGGCTGTGTTTCCTCCAGTTGTGCATGAGGTCACGATGGGTCAGAACCAACTTGATAGCACCTGACAGCAGCAAAGGATTCATGTCAGTTGTAGGCCAAAGGATTCATGTCATGTGCTTGCTGACACCTGGTTCTGGAAATGTTGTTAACTTAAGTTACTCTGGGGGTTTGCAATGGCCTCACATTGTGGTTTCTGCATGGAACAGTCATTATTACCTCTTGCTCTTGGTATTAAGCTCCTGGAAAATGACAACAGACAAATAGTATCGTTCTCCAGTGCGTAACACTCTGTCCTCATGTATAGGTGTCTGAGGGGGTTGTTGTTGTCGTTTTTAAGTTTGTGGGAAAATGGAATGAAAAGATAACTGGGGGGTGGGGAGATGGTGAAATTTTCCCATGAATTTTCTGAAGGCTCGAGTATAGTGAGTATAGCGTCTGTGGAAAATGTGTCGCTACATGTGACCCAAAAAGGGTGTGTGAGGTGCAGTACTGTGGCCTTTTGCTTGGAGTACCTGAAAGCCTGGAAGTTAGAGGTTCACTTCGAGCCTGAGACTGCTGACGAGGCCTCCTGAGGTGGCTGTAGCTCATCATGGCCAGTGGAGAGGCCAACCAAGTCTCCAAATCAGGGCTCAGAGTGTTTCTGGGTGAGAGAAACAGCTGCCCACAGGAGGGTTGTGCATCCACTTTGGGATATAGAAGCTCTGCACTGGGACCCCTCCCAGGCCCTGGAACCCTCTGCATCTCTTCATTTGTATCTTTTATCAGCATGATATTATAGTGTTAATGACAGACGATGTTTCCCATGAGCTTCAGGAATCTCTGCAACCAAATCTCAAACCCAAAGGGGCAGGGACAGCTGGGTGGTCTGAAAGGAATGTTGGTCATGTAACCTCCCCAGCTGGTAACTGGTCTCCGGCTGCCCCAGCCCTAGGTGGCTGGGCATGAGAGAGAGGAGGGAGTCGAGAAGGACTATGAAGTTTGCGGCCATTACCCACAGAGCAGGCCTTGGTGCTAGCAGAGAGGCAGGCTGCACAGAGCAGCTCAAGTCTGCTGACCAAAGGAAGGTAGGTGGCATTTCCATCAGATGCAGTTGCTGTGTGGTACAACCACGTACTACGGAGTCGATTCCAATGCACAGTGACCTCAGAGGGAAGAGTAGAACTTAGCCTTTTTGGGTTTCTGAAACAGCTTCATCTCTCTCTTGTGGAATGACTGGTGGGTTCAAACCACTGACCTTGAGATTAGCAGCTCAATCTTTAGCACACAATGCCATCTGGGTTTCTTTGTTGCTGTGTGGACTGGGATTTCTTGTCCACCGCACATCTGGCATCAGAAATGGGTGACTTTTGCTTCCCTGGGCTAAGTTGTGTCACCAGGGGAAGCTGGAGAGAAGTTGATCGAGTTGACCCATTGAACAGTCTACAACACTGAGTTAAGACTGCTCTAATCTACCAAAAACCTACTTCTCCTGCCATCTGTCCATAGGGCCAAATGATGCAAAATGTGCACCTGGCTCCAGAAACAGATGAAGACGACCTCTATTCGGGTTACAACGACTACAATCCAACCTACGATACCGAGGTAAATGTCCACCAGGAGTAAAAAACGTGCAGAAGGGAAGTACATGTGGGTAGTCACGGGAGCAAAGACGAGTTAGACTTGGATTAGCTGTGCAAGTGGGAAGACGTAGATCGTGTTTTTTCAATGCTATAAATTAGAGAAGCTATAAATTAGGAAAGAGAGTTAAGTACAAAGAAAAATGAAAATCAAGGGAACTCTCACTACCCAGAGAAAGCCATTAACATAAGAGTGAGTGTTTGCTTTTACAAACATTTCCACACAGAGATACCCAGATACTCTATAGTTCTGTGTCTTTGGGAGGGAAATGGGATTATGTAGTGTGTGCTGTTTTGAAACATGCTTTTTCTCTTTGGTGAATAGTCATGTATGCCAATAGATATGCATCTGCTACTATTTCATGGTTTAGTAATGTTCTAAAATGAAATTGCTACTTAGACAAATTTGGGTATTTTTAAAATGTTTACGACTCTTGTGAGGGTTTCAGTTTCCAAACTATACAAAATCAATAAACCTCTCTATAAAGGGTGTCTTGAACAAGTATAGGAAGAAAAACAAGGGTGAAAAATGTTAATTTACATGGCATGAGAATGAAATATTAGCATTCATAAGACTTCAAGTAATTTAGGATATATTCTATTCTACAGCTTTATGTATTCAAACCAAACCCCTGCCATCAGGTCAGTTCCGACTCATAGCAATCCTACAATAGAGTTTCTGTAACTATAAATATTTATGGCAGCAGACAGCTCATCTTTCTCCTGAGGAGGGGCTGGTGGGTTTGAACTGCTGACCGGAGGTTAGGAGTCCAGTGCTATCTTACGGCGCCACCAGAATATCTTCCAGGTCTATAGATAGCAGGGGTGGGAACCTTTGTTCTTCCACATCATGCGAGGGTCAGACTGCTCAACATGCCATTAACTCACCCGATGTGACGGCTGGAACTGCTTCTCTTTGGGGACGCGTGGGATATTAGCATGTGAAATTAGTGATGTCGTCGTCTCCCATGGCCCTGCACAGGCCCAGCCATTCCCACTCCTGAATAGTGTTCAGTCGTTTAAGAGGGGGTCTTTTCTCTGAAATATATGTTATCTCTCCTCCATCTCGAGACAGTTTTAAAGCTGCAGAAAATCAGAGGAAAAAGATAAAAATGACAAACCCTCTTACCCAAAGATCACCTATATTAGATGTATTGCCTGATATTTTGCCGTTTTCCCTTGTTTTTTAATATATGCAGCTGTTTCCCTCATTGCATGAATGCACAAATAGCACACATTCATAGATAGTATTATAATCTACTTTTAAAGTAATATATCACTTAAGCATAAATTTAAGTATGAATGTTGAAAATCATTGAAATCCTCCTTTTCCCCAGTAATAGAAATAATACATACTTATTATTATAAAACAGAACTACCTATAATCCCATCACTGTTTTCCCCCTTTTAACTTATTTAGGATAGAACTAACATTTACTTTTCTGTTTGCTTCTCTGCATTCAGCTACGTGATAAGCAGTATTGATGATATTTAAAATTTAAGTATAATTTTAATGCTTGCATGATACAAACATACATTGCTAATTAGGACCATTTCATCATCATAGATTCTCAGTTTGTTTGCTGTCGTAAATAACATTGCAATGAATAACTTTAGGCATAGGCATTTACTAGATTTTTGAGCAAACCTTTCCTTGGGCAGATTTCCAGAAGTGGGATTAATAAATTATGAGTGTGATTATTTTCAACGCACCAGAGAAACTTCTTCCCTCGTTCCTTATTGCATGCTAATGTGACCTCGTTATTCAGTGTGATGTAGTCACAGTATCCAATGCAAACACTTTACAAAATAAAAACGGTACCTGATTTCTCCAGTTTTCTTTTATCCTAATTAGAACAACAATAATTAGAATAAGAGTAGGTGTGCCTATGTCCACCTATCGTTAACCATATCATTTAGAGAGAATTTTTTAAATCCATTTGGTGCTTGTAAATGGTGAGGTCATTGGCAATTCTTTTTAGCTTGTCATTTAGTTAAAATACTTTGAGCTGATTCAATAAGATTTTATTAGCATTTAAGGTATACTAGAAGATGCCCAGTTGCCAAAGACCTGCCAAAAGAGAAGTGATGCTGCTGAAGGACGCAGCCCAAGGTGGCTTCTTCCTTTATATGTCACACAAAGTATATCAGGTCCCACTGCTGCCTGGGAATTGTGCCTGATTTCATTTTATGTAGCAGATATGAAGGTTACAAAATTTATTTCAAGAAAACACGTAAAAAATCCCGTTTTAAAGGGCATTGTACTTATATTCTAGTAACATAAAAAGGTTTTTGTCGCAATGACATGTAAATGCTTTTAAAAGTTACTTGATTCATTACATGCTTTTTTTTAAATGTATGGTTTGTATTTATTTAAATAATCAGCTGTGTATTTCTGCGGAAAGTTGCTTCAGGTACATCAGAGAGGAAGGCATGCGATTTGAACATCGCACCTATCGATCGAACAAGGGTTTCTACTGCAAACTGAGGAGGAGAAAAGGCAGGCTCCGTAGATGACGGGGGTGCGTGCTTCTGAGAGAGTGCGAAACTCATTTTGTCAAGGAAGCCCATTTCTGTCCTGCCCATGACTGCTGATCCTTCCCTCCGAGTTTTCTAGAGAGAATATAAGCAGAGGTCAGAAAAATAACTTTATTGTAACTGAGGCTTTGCTTGGGTTCAGTTCCCTCTACAGCCCAATTCAGGTCCAGACTTTACCACTCCCGGAAAAGAAAAACCTCATTCACTTTGGCAAAAGGACGTGGCACAAGAGAAAGGGTTTCTCCGGTGCTGGTAAAGACTGGGGTCTTCTCAGTCCTCAGGCTTTCTCAGGTCCGGCTGGTATAGCCTGGTAGCTTACTGGGGGAAGTGGGAGCCGACACAGCACAAGAAGGAGAAAGAGAAGAGATCTAACCAGAGCCACCTGGAAAAAAAGAAGAAGAAAGGTCACCTCCTTGGCAACCTGATCTTTTAACTGGGCACAATGACCACTTCCCTTTTGACATCTGCTAGCAAAATGCCCTTGAAGCTGACTAACGTTACCAGTGCTTTTCTTCCGAGAGGAGGAAAGAGCATCCATGTCTTGGGTGGAGTCAAGGGGAAAAGATGGAGGGCCAGAGCCCTTGGGCCCTACTCAGATATGGACAGATGGAGCAAGATGAAGCTGGCCGGGATGTTGAATGCTAAACAGGAACGTAAAGGTTTTATTTTTTCAATTCCCACGTCATGTTGAATGCTAAGTTTGCTTTTTCATTTCAGGATTTAGAGAATGATACAGCGTTCCAGCAAGCTGTGAGAACTAGCCATGGCAGAAGACCTCCAGTAAGTGAATTTTAAAGTATTTCAGATGGAAAAATTTCATCCCAGTCCTACACATTTAAATATTACTGTTTACATAAAGCATTGGAATGCCCCAAACCAAGGCAAACCCATCAAGTGGATTGTGATTCATTAGGGACTCTGTAAAGGATTTGAGAGAGTAAATCTTTATGGGAGCAGACCACCTCACCTTTTTTCCGCAGAAAGAAAAACCAAAGGATAAACTTGGGGTCATTCCACTAGGCTAGTGACTAGACTGTCTGCTTTTTGAAGAGACAGTGTATTTACTTTCCAAACATATTCTAGTCATTTTTTGTGTTGTTGATTTCGAGCTTTATCCTACTGTAGTTAGGGAACACAATCTTTTTGATAGAAATCTTTGAAATTTGGCAATACTCCAAGTGCATCTGTGAAAGGATGTACGTCCTGCCTCAGGTGCCGTATTGTGTGCCAAGCAGCTCAGTCTTAGTGTGCTCTTTCCATTGGTGACTGTGGTCAGGTGCCGTCGAATCGGTTCCCACCCACGTGGCCCCCATGTAACAGACGGAACACTGCCCGGTCCTGTGCCATCCTCAACTGTTCTCATGCCTGAGCCCCTTGTTGCAGCCATCTTGTCAGCCCATCTCTTTGAAGGTCTCCCTCTTTTTCGCCGCTCGGCTCCCTTAAACAAACATGTTGGGTGTTATCGTGGGTGATGGAGAAGCCTTATTCAATGGCGTTTTGAATAAGGGAACTTTGTCTTTAAGTGAGCTTACAATTTTAGGGAAGAAAGTAAAACAGACACAAATTGATACCTGAGGCATCATGTAAGTGTTACCAAAAAAAAAAAAAAAAGTTTACATTGCTATTGGGACCACAAACAGAGGCCATCTACTATGACTCGGAGGTTGCTGAGGGGTGTAAAGGGTTAAGCATTTGACTACTAGCTGAAAGGTTGGGGGTCTGAGCCCACCCAGAGAGACCTTCTGAAAGGTCATGGCCCTCAAAAGCCCGTGGGTTAGTTCTGCTTTGCACATGTGGTCCTGCCGGCAGCCCCCAACAGTAAAAAAATGCTAGCCATCAGAAGATAAAAGTAGAGGTGAACATTTGAAATACAACACTACCGCCCAGTCAATTCTGACTCAAAGTGACGCCATAGGACAAAGTAGAACTGCCCTCGTGGGATTCTGAAGCTATAAATCTGTATGAGACAGAAAGCCTCATCTTTCTCTCTCAGAGAGTCTGGGGGATTCAAACTGTCGACGTTGGGGTTGGCAGCCCGACGCTGGGGTTGGCAGCTCACCGCACAATCAGTTCTGCCACTAGGACTCCTTTGACTATTAAAGGATATGTAGGATTTAGACTGACTTTGAAGATGGGGAAGAAAAAGCATTGAAGATGAGGGGAAAGGCCGTCGAAGTCTACTAAGCCATCAGCCATCGAGGGCGAAGACAGGCGTTCCCCTCCTGTGAAGCGTTACAGTCGCGGAGGGCGCCTGAGTCAGAACTGACTTGATGGCAGGGGCATTGTCGTCGTTTTTCATAGGGTCATATGATTCAGAATCAACTTGATGGTCGTGAGTTGGTTGTTTTCCATTTGGATACACACACACAAGGACTTTGGTGGTCTTTAACTTGGGCGTTAAGTGCTAGCTGTAACAAAAAAAAAACGGTAATTTGATTAGTTAGTAATTTGACCCTACCAACTGCTCATGGGAAAAGATGCTAACAAACATTTATGCGGTAGCATTTCTAATTCATACTTTTTTCATACAGAATTAGCATTCATGCATATTTTTCTATACTTTCCCTCATGTTGTTTTCATTCTCAGTTGACAATGCTTTTCCATTTCTGTGGTAATTTTTCCTCGATTCATGAATTATTTAGAAATATCTGTAATTTCTAAGCATATTAAATTATTATAGTCATCTATGTGTTGCTGATTTTGAGCTTTATTCTTCTAGAGTCAAGAAACACAATCTGTGATATAAGTTCTTTGGAATTTGGTATTATTCTAAGTACATTTGAAAAGAATCTTTGTTCTGCAGCTGATGAGTGTCACGTTCTATGCCAACGAGCTCAAGTCAGGTCATTGTTGTGACTGTATTGTTATTTCTGATCTCCTAGTTCAGTTACTAATGAGAGACGTGTGAGAAAATCTTTCACTATGATTATGAATTTGTCTATTTCTATTTTTAGGTTTTTACCTTATAATTTTAAAGGGAATTTTGAATTAATCTATTTTCCCAGTAAATTGAGTTTTTTCCTGTTATGCCTTTCTGTCGTACTTTTTGCCTCTTTCATTTGAAGCTAACGGGCTAATAAGCAAGAAGCTGCTTTCTTGTGGTTCACAGCCCAGTGCGTAACTACTGCACCACCAGGAGTGATGAAGATGCTTTCTTTTGTGCCTTCTGATAGAGCTGCTCTACCTTATCCTTTCAGTTTCTACCTTTCCCTATTCATACATCAATGGGCTTCAAATTTTCCCATGAACTTTTTGGAGTCCCCTGGTATATTTTCATATTTTTTTTTTAGCTCCACCCTCCACCCACACCCCTATTTTCATATTCTTATAGTGGGTTGTGTTTTTTAAGTACAACTTACTAATCTTATTCTTTAGCTAAGTGTATAGCAGACCATTTGCATTTAATGAAACTACTGATTTGGTTTAACTCTATCTTGTATTTATTCCTTCCTTCCTTTTTATTTTCCCTCCTTTCTTGCCTTAATTTGCCTGATTTTTATTAACTCATTTCCGTCCACTATTATCTTGAGAGTTTACCTTCTTTATTCGATCACTGTTTCTCTAATGACAACGCTTCCTGCACAATGCAAGAATTATAGATTATTTTCAGCTCTGGAACTTCCATTTGCCCCCTTTTTATAGTTTTCAGTTATGTACTGGAGTTGAACATATTATTCATTTGTTTTTCAAGTCTGTGTCTGACATTCTCGTTACCTAGACCACCCCACATACTCCACCCTTGGGTTCGTCTTTTCTCATGGTTTTGGTAGTCTTGTCTTGTCTCTGCATGTGCATCATTGGTTTTGATGGGATGGTAGATATTGCAAATGAAAAATTAGAGAGGTAATTTAAGGCCCTAGATCCCTGCTGTCATTATAGTAGCTAATTGCTACATCTGACTTTTTATATTTAATGTATTTTAAATTCAGATTCTTATTGCACCAGCCATTTCTAATGCTCAAGAGACACTGTGGCTAGCAACTATCTTTTGAAGGCAGATAAAGAACAGTTCCACCCACAGAAAGTTTTATCAGATGACGCAACTCCAGTTGACCCTATCTGTCACCAGCCAACATTGGCCTTTAGCCCTCATGAGGGTTGGTACGCGACTAATGTACCTTTTGAGGTGCCAGTCTTCCACCCAAAGGATTACCAAGCTGCTTCTTTGGCAAGCTGTAAATTCCCATTTTTCTCTCTAGTTGTGTTTCCCAGGCATGCCTGTGGAATGAACAAATGCCTTTATAAGACAGGCCACGCTCACTTCTCTGGCCTTTACTTCTTTTCCTTATCTCAAGACCTTGTAATTCTTCACTGCCTGGAAAGTTTTTGAATGTATTCATTCCTATCTTATCCCAGCCTTTTTACTTGTTCTTGGTAGAAAGTTTATTTAAGGAGAAGTCCACCCAAGCCGGAAGTAGAACTTCTCCACAAGTAATCTTTTTTTTTTTTTTTTCACAAGTAATCTTTTAATCAAGTCTTTCAAACACATATTCCTAACACCCGTCATGGTTGTGGCACGCTAGTGTATAAGAACGTCTGATTTCAATTGTAATTTTATGATCAGGACATGGTGTTTTTTCCAAGATGAGAGTCTTTATGGTCAAACAGCTAGAAGAAGGTGAGCTGAGGATCGCACGCAAGCTCTCTAACCCATGGGGTTAGTGTCCAACCTCGTAGCTGGCAGTAGTAGTAAGTATGCAATAAATGATTAATGATTTAATACCATAGAAATAAATCTTTATGTTTGGCACCTCTCATTTAAAAACCTTTCCTCTTTCAAATAAATTCTATATCAAGTCTCCTTCTCAGGTCTTAAAATATTTAAGCCCCTTTATTGATTAGTCTACATTGTTCTATTCTCTATTATATAGATTAATATGAATCCTCTTAACTATGTTTTTTTTTCCCTCTCTAAGATAACTGCTAAAGTACCAAGCACTGCAGTTACTAGACCTATAGCTACTGGATATGGGGTAGGTTTTCTGAAGCTGAAAATATTAAGGTGATTTTTCTCATTCTTGAGTTTACTGTAGGTGAGGCTAAGTCACTATTACTATTTCAGGCCACAATGCTATGATTTTCCACTTGGGGTAGTGAAGAGCCTAGTAGAAGTTGAATTTGATTAAAAATTCAGTGCGTTCTAGCCATTTTGACTGATAGGTGTCTTAGAAGATATTTCAAACCTTTTTTCCATTTGTAAATCTTGTGTTTGTTAATGATTTCATTTTCTTCTACATACTGTAACCAAGTCCCATGTGTATTGCATGTATATATTCTGTGTCGTTATGTCACGTGTTAACAGTATCTTTGATCATTTTTTAAAAGCTAATAAATAAAATGTAAAATTTAGACGATGCATTTCAGAAGCATATATTTGGATACTTTTATCAGAGAGCTTTGGAGAAAAGACACTGTATAAAAATTCTATGTAATAAATCTTTCACTCCTGCTCAGATTCCCTGTAATTGGATTATTGTCATTTACATGAAGTATAATATGAGTATTTTCATTTACATGGAGGAATGAGCCTGGAATAGCTTTTCCTAATTCTTGTAATACTTTCTTAGGGCCATTACAAATGGCAGATTTGGTTCTGGGTGGCATTTTAGAGCAAAGGTCAGCAAATTTTTCCTGCTAAGGGTCAGATAATCTAGGCTTGGCAAGTTGCAGTTTACAATCCCACTACTAAACTCTGCGTTTGCAGTGGGAATGCAACCAGTGGTGTAAACAAACCATAGACAAACAATGGTGGGTCATGACTGTGTTCCAGTATGACTCTATTTACAAAGGCTGTGGGTTATATGGTCTGTGTTGGCCGCTGCTTTAGAGTTTTGTTGTTTTATCAAATGACAAGTGAAAAGATTCTATTTACACCCTGATAGAAATGACAATATTATGAAAATCGTTTTCAATGCGGTTTGTAAAACTATAGGTAAATGTCTTCAGGGCTCATTTTAACTTTTCTGTTTACCAGTCCAAGACATCCCTGGCATCATCGCTGGGAAGGCCAATGACGGGAGCTATTCAGGTATCCCTGTAGTGTGACTGCTCATCTGGGGCCTTTCTGGTGACTTGGAATGTTATTACCACAATGTTAGTTCCCCGGATTAGAGGCTTTCAACTACTAAATAAAATGCTACGTATATAGTGACCTTAATTCTTAATGGTGGGCTCAAGGTTGGGCTGTTTGAAATCTTTGGACGCAAGGCCCCTCCATTCTCACATGGAATCTCACTGGGGAGCAGGTATGGGACTGAGTGTTGGCTTGTGTGAAGTTATGTGAGGTCCATTTTTCCTGTGCTGCCCTTTACACTCGCTTTTGTGCTGCTTCTCCAGGGCACATAGGAAACCAACCAAAAGTAGGGAATACACAAATCAATTCCTTTTCACCGTTTAAAACTGGGAGCTCCGATAAATCAAGGAATTGAACTGGTACAGGAGGAAGGGAAGCTCAAGACTGATAGGAGAGGAGGAAGAAGAGATAGGCAGATAGTGGTTGAACCTCAGTTTCAAGAACTTGAGCTCTTTGTGTGTCAGGCGCAGAACTGGCGAGAAGAGGTGGCTCATATTTAGGAATCCTATTGAAAATGGACTCTTCTCCTTTAGGATGGCGTCACTAGACCTATGACAGCGGTGAGAGCAGCTGGCTACACCAAAGCAGCTTTGAGAGGTTTGTTTGATCATCTTTACGAACCCTTTTGTTCTTCCAGTGGTTTTGTTTTTGCTGTTTGTGTGTGTGTATAAGTATTACCGCTTATTTTCAAGTCTCAATACCAGTGGTTATTAAACGCACCATTAAGAAAGAAAAGTGGTAAGGGCAATGTTCTCCATGCTAACTGGGTCAGCAGTTATGCCAGAGAACCATTTATGAAAATGCATTGAGCTCTCCAGTTACAGTGTATACATGTTATTTTACATAAATTATAGCACAATTAAACAATAAAGGTGGAAATTGTATTTGATCATAAAGGTTAGACCGAATTTTACATACATTACTGTGAAATAAATTACAGAATTAAGGAAAATTAAGAAGTCAATAGCTAGCTATTACTCAGAGTTGATAATTTAGAGTCCATAATAGGCATAGATAAGTGGGAGAAAGCGTAAATGCTGAAATAGTGTCTCATTTTGGTTTTTACATATTAACATACAAGTTTGATTTAAATGGTATTTTAAAGTATATTAAATGTCCTGATAAAAATGTTTATGTAATTACAATGAATACCATGTCTATATTTCACAAATTGATTTAAGCCATTTAGTAGGTAAATTTAGGCAACGTAAGCAGGAATTCATAATTTGATATTATGTTCACCCGTGCTGGATTACAAATGTGAGTTCTTGCATTGTGCCTCAGGCTCTGCCTTTGACCCCCTGGGCCAATCCAGGGGCCCTGCACCGCCTTTGGAAGCCAAAAACGAAGACAGGTACGCATGTTCTTATTCTCTTGGTTTGGTGGTGGTATAAATTTTGCTTTTTATTTTCCAAATGCATACGTTGTACATATTTCAAAGTTGGTATCAGCAAACAAACAGTACCCTGAGCTCTTGGATGGAAAAGTGAAATCGATCCTAAGAAGAATGGGTGCTCTGAGCAACTTTCTGGCATTATCCCCCTACTCCTCACTTAGCAACCCGGTTGGCTTCGAAATACCAGCCATACGATCATTGATGTCATACAACAAGGCAGGCTGACCACATAAGATCCCAGAATGGCAGATGATGGTATGATTACAGAAATGCCAAATTACACCATTACATAGCTGCCCGATCACTGAGAATCACGGCCCAGCCAAGTGGACACATAACCTTAGCCTCACCGCCACATTACTAGACCGCAGACAGTGGCATGCATTATCAGCAAATGTACCTCATTAATGCACAAAATAGTCAGATTTTTTTACTATTGCCATAAATGAGAAATGTCTGATAATGAGATAGTTAATAAATGAGGAGTGGAGTATAGGTGTGTTGAATTTGAAAATAGTTTTAATTTTGATGTCAACAGTTAATTCCTTTGAAGGCTAAATAGGGTTGTAACTGTAACAAGATATACTTATTTAAAAATATCTAAAAGAAGAAAAATTAAGAATACACATATTAACTGTTATTTTTTGCTTATCATGATAAATAATGTAGTTTTAATACTATATTCAATTTGCTTTTGCTTTTTAATACCATTTATGTGTCTTATTTATGACCTGTTCTCAAAGTTTTATATGATCGACAATATTAAAATGAAATTAAAATGTACTCTTATTAGTGCCTTAATGCTCAAAATATACCTTATTTTCTTTTCCCCTTCAATAGTCCTGAAGAAAAGATTAGACAATTAGAGAAAAAAGTAAATGAGTTGGTAGAAGAAAGCTGTGTTGCCAACAGTTGTGGAGACTTAAAACTGGTGAGTTCATGAAATCATAGGACTTCTGATTATGCAGTGATTATGTGTGTGTTTTCCTATAGCTACACATACAAGCTTTATATAGGAGGTACACAGAACAGTGTATGTATACATATATACGTTTGTTTTGCTTTTGACTGACCATAGGGCTTTAACCAAAGCAATGATTTTTAGAAACTAGAATTGTAACTGTGCTTCAGAAACTGATATCAAAATAATTAGCTGCTGTGTTAGTTTTTTTTCCCCCAAGTAGTTATTTTAGTAGTGAAACCTGGTTCTAGTGATGAGTTGTATGAGCCCCTAATAAAATGATAAAAAATAGAAAAGAAAAATGGTTCTAATGTGTTAACTAAATTTTGCAGTGAGGTGACTATTGGATTAGACTGTTAGGATAAGAAATAACAACCACCGGAGCACAATTGGCTGAGTAAATAATTGGGTTATTAATCGGCAAGGTTATCAATTCAAAACCATCGTCCTTTCCATGAGAGAAAGATGAGGACTTCTACTCCTGGGAAGAATTAGTCTTGGAGAACCGTGGGGACAATTCTGCCCTGTCCTGTCTGCTCGCTGGGTCACAGTCAACTTGATGGCAGTCAGTGAGAGGGACCCCGGAATGTTTTTTCCAAGTAAACTGCAAACTCATAGTTCTCTTTTCTAGACCACCACTGTACCTTTTTAAATTTACTGTGGTCACATTACTTGTTAAGTAGAAATGTGAACTAAATGGCCACTTTTATTATTAATAGAATTAGTGCTTCTTACCTGGTTATTAAAACCCTCCATGTTGACTGAATCTGGCCCCAAGGGAAGTCGATTCAAAGTTGTCAGCGTCCCCAGTAGAGAGAGGAGAGCTGAGGTCAGCGAACAAGAAAAGCCAAAGAGCAATTTGCCCTCAAGTTGATTTGCACTCATGGCGGTGTGATCTGTGGGCAGCATTGCACTCCAGAGCATTTTCCAGGCTCGGGGAGTCAGTTCAGTGTTGTTCATGTTCTGAGAATCGCTGGTCCATCGCTTTGTCATTCTGTGCGGGCTTGGGTGTTGCTGTGATGCTGGAAGCGGTGTCTCTGGTGTTTCAAATGCCAACTGGCCTACTCAAAGCGAAGAGGTTTCGTGGAGCTTCCAGACTAAGAACAGACTACCAAGAAGGAATAAGCTGTCCGTTTCTGAGGGACTGGCCACCAAAAACCTGACGAATCGCAGCAAAACGAATCGCAGCAAAACAAACATGGCCGGCGAGAGTGCCAGGTCGGAGGGCCCTGGACGTACTGAGGAACAGCTGCCCTCTCCGAGGGCGGTCCACCACAGAAGTGCTGTCTGCAGACATCCCTGTACTCGAGGATGAGTCTAGAGTCCCAGGGCTGTGCTTACTTGTTGGACGACTAACCACAAGGTCAGAAATTCAAAACCACCAGCCTCTCTGCAGGAGGTCCAAGAGGATTTCTACTCTAGGAGAGTCAACGGTCTGGTAAACCCACAGGGGCAGTTCTACCCTGACCTATTGGGTTGCTATGGGTTGCCATCAACTCAATGGCAGGGACCTTAGTTTCGGTTGGGTCTGAGCCTTTGGGTGGACATATCTTTTCTCTACCCTTTGGCAAATCCATAGAAGTGGAATAGCAGGTCATAGGGTAGTTAAAGGGCTTCTCTTTCACAGAATGGGAAAAGGAAAGTTTGAGGAAGAGATGGGACAGACTCCGGCACCCCAAGCACATCTCAGATGGCTGTGAGAGTGATTTCTATGGAGGTTGAGGATCTGGAAATTGATTCCAGGCCAGAGAGTCTACCTGCTAGTCCCTGCAAAGCATTCCTGCCTGCCCAGGAGGACAGTACTCCAAGGAGAAGACCGCTGCCCTGCTGAGCCCCCAGCCCTCCTCTGATTCCTGGCCTCTGCGTGGGCTCTGCCTCAGCAGGCATGCTGTCCCACAGGCATGTTAGGATGGTGCACTCATGTTTAAATCAAACATCCCAGTTCTTTTGTTTCTCATGGGAGTTTATGGTAATGCAGAGGATGAACCCAGAGAACCCGTGGATGGAAAGTGAGCTCATATCTAGAACAGGCATTTTGAAAATACATAAAATTTGATTAAAATTTTCAGGGGAGTTTACAAAGCACAATTTTTCTTGCAGGCCCTCGAAAAGGCAAAAGATGCTGGGAGGAAAGAGAGAGTCCTAGTAAGACAACGAGAACAAGTCACAACTCCAGAAAATATCAACTTAGACTTGACTTACTCGGTAAATATTGAAATACCAGCTGAGGAAAATTGTCCTGGCTCTGCTGTGTGGTTCCTAGTAGTCTTTTTGCTTTATTCATTCTTGTGCCCCAACCCCCCAGTCTTATTGGACACCAGGTACCCAGAATTACATTAATAGTAAGCCTCAGTACATGACACTCTTGTCTTTCATCTGTATGAGGTGTCAATGGAATCAGATATCAGACATCAAAGACCCAAAACAAGACAAAACAAAAATCATATCAATGTGACTGAGGGGGCGTGCAGAGTAGAGATCCCAAGCCCATCAGTAGTCAGTTGGACATCCCGTGTCAGAAGGGCCACAAGGAAGAGATTAGCCAGTCAAGATGCAGTATAGCATCAACGAAACATAAAATTCTCCTCTCGTTCTTTAATGCTTTCACCACCACCACCCCCGCCCTCAAATCATGACCCCAATTTTACCTTACAAATCTGGCTAGAGCAGAGCATGCACACTGGTACAGATAAGAGCTAGAAACACAGGGAATCCAGGACAGATAAACCATTCAGGACCAGTAATGAGAGTAGCCATACCGTGGAGGGAAGGGGAGGGAGGGGAAGGGGAAAGGAGGGGAGGGGAGGGAAGGGAAGAGAAGGGGTAATGGGGAACAATCATAAGGATCTACATATATCCTCCTCCCAGGGGGACAGACAACAGAAAAGTGGGTGAAGGGAGACAGCGGTTGGTATAATACATGAAAAAATAATAATTTATAAATGATCAAGGGTTCATGAGGGAGGGAGGGAGGGAGGGAGTGGGGAAAATGAGGAGCCGATACCAAGGGCTCAAGTAGAAGGAAAATGTTTTGAAAATGATGATGGCAACATATGTACAGAGACAATGGATATATGTATGGACTGTGATAAGAGCTGTAAGAGCCCTCAATAAAATGATTTTAAAAAGGGATGTTGAAAAACAACCTAACACCTCCCATTTCTAACAAAATATCTTTAATTCTGAAAATTTCCAAGATCTTTAAAAGGATATATTTTCAGTGGAAGAAACTTTAAAAGCTAAATAAATTGAGGGAAAGGCCATTTGAAACTTTGAATAAGAAGCACCTTAAAAATGGTTACTGTTTGTAATGAATATTTTTAAATGGCATGGGATATTTTGATTAAGGAATAACAACTTTTACTTTAAAAGATATGACTCAAATTATAATTTTGTATATGGAAAAATGCTATAAAATGCTTCCCTGATAAAATTTAAGGCTCAAGATAATTTCCATGCTGTTTTATAACTATTTATAAAGTTAATTTAGTTATTTTCATCACCAGGAATAATAATATGTATGTATTCTTTATAGGCCATCTTGAGACTGGTGGGCAAATAATATTTCAGTGAAATAATATTTCATACCTAGAAAATGAAGGTGAAACTTAGAGTTCAGATCTCCTGATCTTACTGTTGGATACCAACTATTTCTGTGTAAACCCTCCCCCGGCCCAAGTTGTTAGATATTCTGATGTAAAAGGGAACTTGGTTGTTGGATTTTAATATCTAGAAATATTGCAGGCCAAAGGACCTGACGTAGTCATTATGGGTTTGTTTGTTTGGGGCATGTTTTCCTCCTTAGGTTCTTTTCAACCTGGCCAGTCAGTACTCAGCCAATGAGATGTATGCCGAAGCCCTGAACACGTACCAAGTGATCGTGAAGAACAAGATGTTCAGCAACACAGGTACGTGTAGAGCACTAGTGCTTTTGGAAAAGTTGAGTTTTTGTGATGTTACTTGGCATCTCGCCTCACTTTCTGCTTTATAATGAAATAAACGAGCCCTGGTAACTTAGTGGTCTACGCCCTGAGCTGCTAACCACAAGGTCAGTGGTTTGAACCCACCAGCTGCTCCATGGAGAAAGTTGAGGCTGGCTGCTCACATGGAGATTTACAGCCTACAGTTACCCTGCCCTGTGAGGTCTCTGTGAGTCAGAATTGACTCAATGGCCCTGAATTTGGGGTTATTTTTGGTATTATAAAGTGAATGATTCGTTAAGCAAATTTCTATTTATGATGGGATTGCTCTGCTTCAAAATCTTATCTATATGAAAATACAAATAAAAATGAAATGCTTAGTTGCTAGAAGATATCCTGCCAAAAGTAATCCGTGACTGGCTGTTGCCAAGTCTAACCTAACCTAGAACCACCAGTGTGTGTCCCCCGGCACAGTGCCCCGGAGGGTTTTCTGAGGTGTAATCACCAGGCCTTTCCCCTCCAGTGAACTTGAACTTCCAGCTTTCCAGGTCACAGCCAAACACGGTAACCCTCTGTACCGACTCCGGGCTCCCGATCGAACCTGCTTTCCCTGGTGTGTAAAGATCCTCGGAGACGCCAGCTTCTCTAGTCTCTAATGTCTTGGTCCCTGTGTTAGAGTTCACTGGAATCATTTTCCGTAGTGCCATATTAAAATGAATGCTGCATAGTCATATTGAATTTTAAATGTCTGCCATTCTTTTTAAGCCCCACATTTTTCTTAAAAGAATGACACTTTTATATCACCTAGATCATGGGCTCCCACACGATTTGGCCCACCACCACCTGTTCAGGAAAACTTTGTGCTGTAGCCCATCCTCCAGGGTACAACGTAGCTGCTGGTTTCTGCAGCCCCCAAGGATCGTTCCAGGGCCCCCAGAGGGGTGGTATCACTCATTTTGGGAAACACTGATCTAAATCTATTGTTTTCCAGTCATATTTTCATGACGCATCAGTCTTCAACTCTCCTGCCTCACAGAATAGTGTGCACATAGGTGAAAGTAGTGTGGCTGTTTTAAAGCTGGACTCTAGGTAGAATCTAAAACTTTGCATGTTGAAAAAAATATCCAAAAATATGAGTTAAAGTCAACTAAAAACTAAAAGACTTTAGAAAAAGTGAAGGAAAAAAAAACCCACCCTAGATTATTATACATTTACTACTTTTATTTTAATTAGGAAGACTGAAGGTGAATATGGGAAATATTTATTTAAAGCAGAGAAATTATTCCAAAGCCATTAAATTCTACCGGATGGCATTAGATCAGATTCCAAGTGTCTATAAAGAAATGAGGTAAGTTTGTGATAATTTTATAAAATCGGATTAGTGTTTTTTGTGTGGTTTTGTTTAGAAACTACAAAACACTTCTGACCTATTATTAGTGGGTCAATGTTTGGAGGTGTTTCTACATAAGAGGTTTCAGATTTTTGTCCTAACTGTAGTGTTTTGATCTGTTTCCTTGTAGCTACTTGCAAACATTTGTGTAGCCGCTAAGGTAAAAGACATAAGACATGATTAAATGGGAGGGGAAAAATAGCCTACTGCCCTATGAAGGGACTAACTGTGCAGACCATTAACATCACAACGTTATGGGGTCATAAAATAAAATTGCAGTCTTCCAGAACACAGTAGACCCCAGTATGCAAGGCTAGAAAGTTCTAGTTCTTTATGCCCTTGCTGTAGCTTGAGAGTGAAATCACAGCACGAGGGGCAGACTTCTGGACCTCCAGAGAAGAGCCGAGGAGGACAAGAAGAGCAGGGTGTCGTCTGTTCCTATGAAGGAGCACGTCCGCAGAGCAATGGTAACTTACCGGGTGGTCTGCTGCTGAGAGAGCAGCATTGGACATTTGGCCATACTGACCCTCTAGATGGATCTCCTCTCTGGAAAAACTATTTATAGATGTCACATTTGATGATATGTTGTCCATTGTACAGGATACTTTATTATTATCAGCAACGGCTCTATTGTCACAAAACAGCTATAAGATATAGTGCCCATGAAGTGCTTCTAACCTAGTTGAGGGTTAGAAATTGGGCAGTTTAGAAGAAGATAGTAATGTGAGAGACGTGTGTAAGGTGCTTCATAACTGAGACAGTAATTGAAGTGCTACAGCAGTTGGGTTGAGGGGATAATTACTGAGAACCAGAATGGTCAAGAAAGGCTGTCTGAGATAAGATTACTTAAGGAAGGAAGGAAGAACATTCCAGATAAAGGGTCACATTTCATGTGAAAGGCCAGGGAAGTCACAGTGTTCATGATCTGATCAAAGAATAAATGAATTTTTAGAAACGGATTACATGGAGGATTGATTAGAAATACAATGAAATCACATCCAGTGGAATGGCTGTAATAGGAAAGCCAGACAACAGCAAGTGCTGGTGTGGACACAGAGAAATTGGAGCCATGCACTGGATGTGTCAAATGGTACAGCTGCTTTGGGAAGTAGGAAGTGTCATAAAAGATGAAGCACCGATGTGCTGTACAACAAGGAATCTCACTCCTACATGTAAACCCAAGAACATTTTCAACATGTTACAATAGCTTGTTTGCAAATGTTCATAGCAGCATTATTCTTAATAGTTCAGAATTGGACGGAGTCCAGGAACAGGAGTGGGAACAGCGATACCAGAAGGGAAGGGGAGGAGGGAGAGGAGGGGAGGAAAGGGAACGATCGCAATGACTGACACATAACCACACACACCCTCCAGGGGAACGAACAACAGAAACCACGGGGGAAGGGAGACAGCGGTCGGTGTGAGATATGAAAATAATAATAATTTATCAAGGGGTCATGAAGGTGGGAGGGGGGGAAAGAGGAGCTGATACCAAGGGCTAAAATGCCTAGAAAAGAATGATGGCAACATATGTACAAATGTGCTTGATACAATTGATGTATAGGTTGTTGTAAGAGTCCACAATAAAATGATCTCTAATAAAAAACTTTTTTTAAAGATCAAAAGGGCAGTATTTGCTCATGGACAAAGTTCACAGGGTTAGGAAAGAAAGGAATGGAAAGAGGAAACAGGGAGAAAATAGGATGAGTGATAGGAATTGAAATACCGTAGATAAGTTGAAACAAAATATATATCGTTTCTAATGTAAAACTGATGATCTACTCCGTAAACCTTCTCCTAAATCACAATCAAAAGAAAAAAGGCCAAAAAGAAGTGGAAGCAAACTAAATGCTCATCAACTAGGCAATCAAAACAAAGTGTGCTATATCCATACTATTCGGCAATACAAGAGGCAGCACTGAGACATGCTTACACCCTGGGTGAACCTTGAAAATCAGTAAAATGTTGAGTCAAAGTTAGACACAAGAGGCCACATTTTGCAGGATTCTATTTATGTACAAACACGTTACATTAGTGGTTGGTTAGTGTTAGGGGTGCCAATTGGCTCAGGCTTTCACTTTAGGATGTTGGAAATTATTTAAAATAAGATTGTGGCTATGGCTGTACAACTGTGTAAATGCAGTGATACGCATTGAATCATACACTGACAAGTGAGTTTCATAGCGTCTAAATTAAATTATACGTAGTGCCACTTTAACAATGTTTTAAGCAGTGGGAAAGAGCAGGAGGAAAGGCTGGATGTGGGATTCCAGGCCCTGAATGCCAGGCTCAAAGAGTTCAGCCTTTTAAAACTAACCTTGTGCTTCTCTTCCGTTAGGATTAAAATAATGCAGAACATTGGCGTGACGTTTATTAAGACTGGCCAGTACTCGGATGCAGTTAATTCATTAGAGCACATAATGAGCATGGCGCCGAATCTGAAGGCTGGCTTCAACTTGATCCTCAGTTATTTTGCGGTTGGGGACCGCGAGAAAATGAAGAAGGCTTTCCAAAAGTTGATCGCAGTTCCATTAGAAGTTGATGAAGACGATAAATATATTTCACCAAGTGTGAGTATGAAGGCTGTTAGGTGGCCAGCTCTGAGTTCTCCGTGGTGTCCTGCTCCCAGAAAGAGGAAGGCTGAAGCAGTGGCCTCACAGGTGTCTACAGCCCTCCATCAATGCGTTATATCAGTGAGGTGTATTTCATTGTTATTTAAACCAAGCTTGAAATGGGCTTGCGATTATTGTTAAAACAGACTGAAGAATATAAAAAACAAGACCAAAAAAACTGTAAGAGATGTCATACCCATCATTAGAGTCGTTCCTTGAAAGAGGAAGTCCCCAAATCCTTGTCAAGGCCCTTTTCCGTCAATGTCTCAGCAGGGGGGACCTACACCACATGTGAAGAATGAAAAGGCAATCCCGGTCCTTAGTCCGAGAGCAAAGCAGTGTGTTCAGTTATCCAAAGCCATGCTATTCAAAGAGCTGGGAGAATCGTATGTAATAAACACAGACACGTGCACATTAGAAAATAGAAACCACGATGGAAACAGTAGTTTCTGGACAATGAGAGTCTTTTCTTTCCTACTGGTTTTCAAATATCATCCAGATTTTTACACATAAATTGTTGTTATGCTACCATACTATTTTATATTTAGTCAATAGATGTGCATTTGCCTTTGTAGATCAAAGCAGTAGAGTAGCATTCACTTTATATAGTTGCACATGTCTTTTAGAATCGTGGTTAAAGGGTCTAGGTTACGAGCCCAGGCTGCCTGATTGTACCACTGAGTAATTAAACTCCATGCCTTGATTCTTTAAATGTAAAATGGACTGCTAGCAATAACCTACATTGTAGTGGGGTGATGAGAATCAAATGAGTTAATTCGTGTAAATTACTTTAAAAGTTCTTGCAATGTAGTTACGTACTGAGTAAATGGTTGCAAGTATATTTTGTTCTCATGAGGAAAAATACATGTTGCAAAAACATCATCTATGTTCTTAATAGAGGGTACAAGGATCACCCTAAACAATTGATGATCACTATCGTATTTACATTTGAGCTCATAAATTACAGTATTATAACTTTGTATGAGTAGCCATACCTTGTACAAGCCCTACCTTGTACCTTTCCCAAAAAGTTTGTGAGTAAAATGAAAAGATAATGGGAGTTTTTCTTTTTGCTACAAAAATCACAGGAATCTTTATTAAAAAATCAAAATGTGAAGCTATTGTTTTTTTGACATAAACACCATCTGAAAACAGTGTTTCTGTCTAACTCTTCCCCCAAATAATTCTTCACTCTTACTTATATTTGCATCACATCAAAATGGCAGGCTTTGTATCCCCAGGGGCCTGTGTTCCTTTCCAATGGTTCTTGGACTTTTAGGAACAAAAGAAATCAGAAGGGACAAGATGAGGATTTAGGGTTTGCTTGCTGCCCATCAAAGAATGAGCAAGTACATTGTGATGGGAAATTCCTCATGCAACTTTCTTAGCTTTTTCTCACAATGCAGTTTTCCAACCATTGTGAAACTTCCTCCTATGGAATTATGCTTATCTTGTTGTCATTCAAGAAAACCCCGTGGGACTCTCCAAAGACAATTGCAATAATCTCCTGAGCTAATCTGACGCTGGGGACTCCAGGATGATCACTAATCCCTGTTTCAGTTTGGTTTCTCGTCTTTGTTGAGGATCAGTGTACTGCATCGGCCGCATCTGCCTTCTTGCCTAATCCAGTCCTGCAGCTTCTCCACCAACAGGAGCAAGCCCCTCATAGTTGGTCCTTTTCCTTCCACCCTTTTTTATCAGCTGGTCAGAAACAGTGTTAGTTCAGCAGGTCATCAGAAATATGAAAAAAAATTGTTCTACTCTGCCTAAGAGAGGATCATTTAGGAAGATTTTATTGTTCCACTTTATACTATGAGTTAGTGCTGAGGTTAATTATAAATTCAAATTCTTACTTTTTGCTTCTAGATTACTCATTTTTCCCCCCAATTTTATTTCTCCAGGATGATCCTCATACTAACCTAGTGATTGAAGCTATAAAAAATGATAATCTAAGGCAAATGGAACGTGAAAGGTAATATTTGGAGTATTTAATCATTAACATAGTTTCAATGTTTATAAAATAGTTAATTATGCATTATACTTTATGAAATATGTTTATTATGCTTGATTTTTTAAAAATCATTTTATTGGGGCTTGTACAATTCTTATCACAATCCATACATACATACATTGTCAAGCACAGTTGTACATTTGTTGCCATTATCATTATCATTGCCTTCTACTTGAGCCCTTAATATCAGCACCTCATTTCCCTCCCTCTTCCCCCTTCCCCCTCCCTCATGAACCCTTCATAATTCATAAATTATTATTTTGTCACCTCTTACGCTGTCCGACATCTCCCTATGCCCCCTTCTCTGTTGTCCATCCCCAGGGAGGAGGTCATACGTAGACTCTTGTCATCCGTTGCTCGCTGTGTTTTTTGAACAGTGCTGTTGTTTCACCATTTCTATACTGCATTCTTTCTTCCACTTCAAAATAATCTCAATTCTTCATGCTAATTTGCCCAATTATTCTTACTTAATTCTTTCTATTTCTGTGTAACTTGCTTTTAATTTTCATTTGGTGCAATTGGAACTTTGCTTAATAGCCTTATTTCAGAAACTATGTCTTTATATATTTTTATCCTACCCCTGCAATTAGATTTCAACTCTCAGCAAAAATTCTCTCTATTGTTTCTTCTCTCCAGCCACAAACCAAATATAGTCTGAGAGTTTAAATATTTCTTGACTATCAACAGGTATATTAAGTGTATACAAGCTCCTAGTGGCACAAATGGTTAAATGCTTGATTACTAGTTAAGAGTTTGAGGGTTTAAACCTGCCCAAGGGTGCCTTGGGAGATGGGCCTGGTGGTCTGCTTCCTAAAGGACACCACCTTGAAAATGTTAAGGATTCCACAGCCCTCCTCTGCCCACATGCCATCCCCAGGAGTCAGATGTGGATCAATAGCAAGGAGCAAGAATTTAGGAGTACGTCACTTGATGGCTGTCCCTTAAGGTTCAAGAATTAGATTAACTGAAGACAAGTGGGCACATAAGCAAATGTGGTGAAGAAAGCTGATGGTGCCCAGCTATCAAAAGATATAGAGTTTGGGGTTTTAAAGGTTTGAAGATAAACATGCAGCCATCTAGCTCAGAAGCAACAAAGCCCACATGGACGAGCACATCAGCCTGTGTGATCATGAAGTGTCGAAAAGATCAGTTATCAGGCATCAAAGAACAAAAAAATCATATCATTGTGAATGAGGGGGAGTGCGGAGTAGGGATCCAAAGCCCATCTGTAGGCAACTGGACATTCTCTTACAGAAGGGTCTCAGAGAGGAGACAAGCCAGTCGGGGTGCAGTGTAGCACAACTTTCCCCTCACCCATTTTCCTGTTGTCCGTTCCCCAGGGAGGTTATATGTAGATCCTTGTAATCGGTTCCCCCTTTCTACCCCACCCTCCTTCCACCCTCCCGGTATCACCACTCTCCGCACTGGTCCTGAAGGGATCATCTGTCCTGGATTCCCTGTGTTTCCAATTACTATCTGTACCAGTGTACATCCTCTGGTCTAGCCAGATTTGTAAGGTAGAATTGGACACTGTAAGACAAAAAAATAATGATTTATAGATTATCAAGGGTTCCTGAGGGAGGGGGGAGCAGGGAGGGAGGGGGGGAAATGAGTTGATACCAAGAGCTCAGGTAGAAAGTAAATGTTTTGAGAATGATGATGGCAACAAATGTACAAATGTGCTTGACACAATGGATGGATGTGTGGACTGTGATAAGAGTTGTATGAACCCCCAATAAAATTATTTTCTTTTTTAAAAAAAGGGAAAAAACTCCTGAAAAGCAAAAAAAAAAAAAATTAGATTAGCTCTAAAAATAAAACTGACATAAGCTTTAGGTAGGTGATGAGAGAGTCGGAGAAAGAATAGATATTTTAAACACAATTAAAACTCTGGACATTATATATAAAGCCAATAGTAGAATGGTGGAGGGAATAAGGCTTCCTGGCTAAGGAACTTGGGACCCCAGGACACGATGGCCAGTTCTCCCATCGATTCCCGTATCTCAAACGTGGAGTTGAAGATGACGACAACCAGACCGCACAGAACAAAAGACAAGAAGAGCCTCACAAGACAAAAGAAAAAGACGACAATGACAAGACTACAGTGACTGTTGTGCTCCAGCAGCACAAACCACCAAGTGCTGAACGATGGCTAGCGACAGGTTGGTGGTTCGATCCAGAAGTATCAGAAGACAGGCCTGGTGACCCGCTTCGGAAAGGTCCCGGCCTCCGAAACTTTATGGAACAGTTCGATTCTGCGCACACGGCATTGCCATGAGTCAGAGCAACTCTGTGGCAACGCACAACAAAAACAGTGTGCCAGCTAAGGCCGAGTGGGGAGCCTAAACCTCCAATCTTGTAAGACACTAGTGAGCCCCCTCAAGGCCCCTGCTGGAGTGGTATCAGAGAAGACCAGACTGGAAGTCGGAACTTTGATCTCAGGGGCTGGTATTGGGTCACCCCCACCTCCAACCTCAGCATGGGGTGAGTGCAGCACACCTGGCAATCCTGCACGGTCACCCAGCCCCAACGTAAGCGTCTCCTCTCCCCTGGTGGGGTCAGAGGCAGCCTAGTGCAGTCAGGACATTCCCCCTCACACCGTGGTAACAAAGCTACCTCCAATATGGTGTCCGTGGAGAGGAGAGAAGCAGGGACACTCACCATTGCCAGCAGAACGGAGCCCACCTACTGCCCTTACAGGCCCATATTGATTGAGAATCACTCATCAGACCAACAACCAGAAAGATCTCAAACTGAAATAAAATCATAAACACCAGCTGCACGACACCAAATTCTAGAGTCATCAACAAAGACTATAAACGATGATTTTTTAAAAATGCTTCAGCAAGCTTTATGAACATGCTTGAAATAAATAAGGAAAACATTGAAAGTCTCAGGGAAGAAATAGAATCTCAGCAAAAAACCCCGAAGGTGTAAAGAAAAGCCAAGTGGAGTTTCAGAAGTGAGAAATACAGTAACTGCAAAGAAAACCTCGGGTGGGTTCCACAGCAGGAGGGCAGAGAAGAACCCAGTGCACCGACAAACAGAGCAACAAATGAAGTAGTCTGCACGACAGAGAGAAAGCGTTCCAGAATGAAGGGAAATGAAGAGACTTGTAAAGGGAGGAAGATCAAGGATGTTGTTGCCAACAGACCTACCCTGAGTTGGAAAGGAAATGAAAAAGTGCAAGCTGTGGGCCATCAGGGAGGAAGCAAGGACAAGGCAGCACATGCAGGGTCCATGTAATAGGCTCTCCTCCTCCTCTCGAGTTTTCTAAGTATTGTTAACTGGTGGGGATGGGGGTGGGGGGATGGGGTGGTTTTGGGCAAATACTGAAGTCAAGCGTTTTGTTTTACTGGGACCAACAATCATGCCCGTGAAAGGAGCAGTCAAAATCTAACGTACCGTATATACTCATGTATAAGCCGAGTATGTTGGCACATTTTCAATGCAATTTTTGTGGTAAAGTTAGGTGCCTCAGCTGATATTCGGTCGGCTTATACTCAAGTATATACGGTTAGAATAGGCAAATCTGCTGCAAAAGACCTCGTCCAAAACTCAAACCAAAGTTACTGCCATCGAGTCGATGCCACTCATAGCAACCCTATAGGACCGCGTAGAACTGTCCCTGTGGGTCTCCGAGATTGCAACTCTTCATGGAAGTAGAAAGCCACCTCTTTCCCCCAAGGAGCGACAGGTGGTTTTGAACTGCTGGCCTTGCAGATCACAGCCCAACACTTAACGACTATAATGTGAAAAAGCAAAAATGTCACTTTGAGAAAAGTGGTTATGCATTGGGCTGAGCAGTTCAAAATCTCTAGCCAGCTCCTTGGGAGAAAGTCAAGGCTTTCTACTCCCATACCGAGTTACAATCTCAGAAACTCACAAGGGGAATTCTACCTTGACCTACACGGGCACCATGAGTCAGAATTGACTCGGTGGCTGTGAGTTTACTTTGGTTTGGATCAAGCCTTCCAGGAGCCCTGGTGCCTTGGTGGGTTGGGAGTGGTTGGGCCGCTAACCAGAAGGCAGCAGTTCGGAACCACCAGCCGCTCTGTGGAAGACGCAGCTTTTCCGTCTCAGAAACCCATGGGCCGTTCTCCCCTGTCCTGTAGGGAGGCTCATCATGAGTCCTCATTGACGCGATGGCAGCAAGTTTGGGTTGTTGTTTTGAATCCAAAGTTCCACAGGCTTTTTTGTAGTACTCATCATGTAATGTAGCGTTCATAACGTTGACATTTAAATTTTTTTTAAAAAATCCAAATTCTTTTCATACTGTGTTCCTAAAGATAACTTCTTTGTTTGCTATAGGAAAGCAATGGCAGAAAAATACATCATGACAGCGGCCAAACTCATCGCTCCAGTCATTGAAACCTCTTTTGCTGTGGGTTACGACTGGTAAGAGAATTTCAGTCTAACAAGCACAGCGTTTTCATAATTTTCACTTTTCTTGACCTAAAATTAAAATTGTTACTGGAGACATGAGTCAGATCATCAAGAATAATGATTTGTACTTTTCAGATAAATGTTTAGATTCATATGACAGGCATAACACTCTGAGAAGATATTTATCTCATACTCAGGGCCTGGTCTTGCCATTTGATGAGGTTCACTGCTCTCCCTTTACAAATTAACCAGCTGCGCCTGCTCTCGTTGCAGTTTCTTTTCTCATTTTCCCCTGTTCTGCCTTACATGTGTTACCAGTACTAACGGCTCTAGCTCAAGTGGTAACTGTCTCACCTGAAAAGACAGAGTTGTGCACTTGGGAAACGTGTATGTTAAATGCGTAATTGAATTTGGTTTATGCTTCCATCCAATCTCTGCTTGGATTGTCCTGGCGTTCATTTGTTTTGAGTATAAGAAGATTCTTTCTTTTGTCCAACCCAAATTTGCTCCTCAGGAACCCGTTTGCTGTGATCTGTTGTGCAAACAGATGGCATAATACTGTGATCTTTCCATCCAGAATGTATGTCTGTGGTTAGAACATCGGAGTACAGGCGAGTTCCGGGACCTTGGTTTTCGGATTGCCTTTCATGTTTCTGGTGGAGCACTCTTTCCGATTCTGATCCATTATGTCAGTTCCTTCGAGTTCATTTTCCATTTGAATCTCATTGCCTTCCTGTTGTTTGGGTTTTTTTTATATTTTTGTCACAGGTTTAGGTTTGCAAATTTTTTTAAATAATCATTTTATTAGGGGCTCATACAACTCATCACAATCCGTACATACATTTGTGTCCAGCACATTAGTACATATGTTGACCATCATTCTCACAATACCTGCTTTCCACTTGAGCCCTTGGTATCA